CTGTAACACCTTGCGTCCTAGTAGCTTCCCGCCTTGCTTTGAGTGAAACGCTTAAAACAATTATATATATATATATATATCCCAGGTTGTACACCGAGATTGCACTTAAATGTTTTAAACGACATATTTTCCTTTCCCGATGCCTGCAATACGAGCTCTATTAGTTTGTTTTTATTCCTCACATACACGTGGGATTTCAGGTTAAAAATATTAGCCGGTAACAATCCTGATGAGGGAACAACAACGCAAACGTCTCCTTGCCTAAAGCGCTTAAGGTTACAAAAGCTCACTGCCGACCTCAAGTGGAACTTGTGTATTCAAGCCACCGCCCCAAATCCTGGGAGAACGTTCGGTTAATTGTATTGCTCCAGAAAATAACCAATACTTGCTGTCTTATTCTATCTTCACAGGCGTCTATTGTCACGTTGTCTAGTGGATAAAACCATTGTTTATGTCGTGATAATGACAATAAGATGTGGACAATATCTCGTATTTAAATGTGGACAATAAGGAACGTGTTATCATAATCTGTTAGATTCTGCAATTTGTACGAATTGTTCTTTAAAGTTATTTTGAGCGATATGATTTCTGTTTGAATTAGACATTTTGAAATCAAGCTATACTTATTTTATTTTAATCAGCTGCAAAGAATTGGAAATATCACAATTGTTTGTCCTACACCTGGGAAAGTTATGTTATGGAGTGGTTTCAGAGTAGAGGCTTGTATTTGTACTAAGTCGGTCCTAAAATAGGTTCGACGTACAAAACGTTAGGAACTTGATATAATAGGTAATGACGTAGAGTAATCTAGCTGCGGTCGCTGATACTTTAGCATCCGACTAACGGTCGTCCGACATCGACTGACTGAGCGACTGTCTGAGCGACTCCTCGTTACTCTTACTACTCCTACTTATTATAGGTGGGAGTGTCTATTAACTATAGAATAGGTGTGTTCCACTATAACATTATGTCATTGAGTTGTGCAAGGTATTTTTTTTCTTTCTCGCCAGAAGCTATCTTAAATAATTATAAGTCTACCATTCGACCATGCTTTGAATATTGCTGTCAGCACTAGTCTGGTGTTTCTGTAATATATTCGTATATCCTTGGTAAAATCCAACGAAGAATTTGCAATATTATCTGTTCTGAACTGGCATCTCGGTTTCAGTCACTTTCCTTCCGCTGTAGCATAGTTTCCATGTAACATTAGTATAAATATTTTCATGATTATTGCTTTGATTCTGTCTATCTTCGGCATCTCAACATTACGAATTTAAGCGTGGCACGGGGTTAGCGGCAAGGTCTCATCATCTTACAGAAGAAATGGCTAGATTTAATAAGTTCAATCTTAACAGTTTCTGTCCTTTCACTTCTCGTTTTGGAACTCACTTCATTAAACGATTTCGCAAGAACCATTGGATTTAGCCAAATATTCGTCTCGTGACAACGTCGCTCTTGTGGAAGGCCAATATGGCAAGCTTTTTCAAATGCTTACCTTTGCTATTCTTATACACAGCTTGATAGAAAAATTCAGCGATGGCTGTTGGCATTTAGACCAAGCGATACGGAAACCATGTTGCTTTTTCCAAAGTGAGGGCGTACGAATTAAGTTGATTAACCTCTATTCTACTGATTAGAGCCTCAAGCAATTAATACGTTTACAAATTCAGGAGACAGGGGGTTACGCAGAGTTCTTAAAGCAGAAGCTAGTGAGGAGGACTTCCAACAAGCCGGAAAACAGGATGAAGTTAAGGTAAGAGGAGCCAGCTCAGGTGCACATTCTTTAGGATGACGGCAGAAATCCCGTAACAGCCATTTAATTACCTTGTGGGGTACAATTTAGAAATGATGTCTGAAATCAGTGACGTGGTTATGTGAATACTACTCCACAGAAAAAACTTTTCTTGTGAGAGAGGTACTCAATGTAAGACGACATTAGAGTAAATAGAACTTCCGAGCAAAGCACTCTAACTGCTGTAGATGTCAGAACTTTAAATTAATGGAAGAGAAAAGGGACTGAGAATTTGAAGTGGTCAGTGATAACTAGAACCAAACATGTGAGAGGCTAGACGTTATAATATTCTATCAGCACACAGTGATCTTGCTTTTTTGAGGACACGCTTGAACTCATTACGAACAAAGACCTCTGTTGTAATCAGACCTGTCACACTGTTATAGCGCTTTCGAAAATTAGAAGGGGTTAACCCGACACTCTTGCTTATCATATATAAGAATAGATATTTCGAACATAGATTTAATTGATTAAAATACGAAACTCCTATTAAGAGAATGTATTTCTATTATAAACTAGCTGATTGTGATTCCTTTCATGACTTCCTTCGCGATATTCTACCGGTAGAAGTGATTCTCGTGGATTATAACAGCTGAGCAGGTAGGTGAGGACCGTGGAGATCATTATGGTTTCACTTGGTATTTGCGCGTTAAAACAAAAACCTTGATACCGGTATTCACCCAGGAAGAGATCTCAGTTTCACATTTATGATGAGGATGATTAAAAACTTTGTTCAGAAGGATATCGCGAAGGAAGTCATGAAAGGAATCCCAATCACCTAGTTTATAATAGAAATATATTCTCTTAATAGGAGTTTCGTATTTTAATCAATTAATTGTATGTTCGAAATATCTATTCTTATATATGATAAGCAAGAATGTCGTGTTAACCCCTTCTAATTTTCGAATGCGCTACTAGGGGACACTCTCCAGAATATTTTTTCGCAGAATCTTCTTGCCAAATCCACTTATCTGTAAACATATCACCATCTCGAAGAGAACGCGCTTCCCTTTTGAGAAATGCATTAAACACACACACACACACACACACACACACACACACACACACACACACACACACACACACACACACACACACACACACACACACGTGCGTACGCACATTCACTCATTCTTTGGATGAAAATCTTTATCCTATTCATTTGTTAAATACATCATTGACTTTGGCGTTTGTATACCTTTGTTGTTAATACATTATCATTTTTTGTACATATATATTTTGTACATATATTCCTGTCGTTTCTTTATATTTACGTACGCGGACTCACACCACGAGTCCAGCGTTTTTTGGGAGCATTTCAGGAAACAGCATGTTATTCCCAATTGCAAACACCGACGTTAATATCCCCCGCAACAATAGCAGTATAGTGATTTACTAAGCAGATTATACATGACTGAAGCCGTAAATATGGAGCACACTCTGGATCTAAATAAAAAAATCTGTCTTAACTTACTAGCCATAACACAATGTCGGACTATGAATTTGTGATTTCAAAATCAATCAAGTACAGATATTTAAATATCTGTGAAGTGTTTTATCAGAAGATGAAAAATAAACACCGAAATCCGAAGGTGCACTGGAATAAAAGAACGGCCTTCCAAAATCTAAGCAACATACGAAGAAACAGGAAATTATGTTTGAAACAAAGAAAAGAAAGCTGAATAGTTATGTCATATCAGTCCTCCTAAATGTTAGTGAATAGAGTACAGTTTATTACAAACGAAGGGGAAACTAGTGTCAACAGAAATGTGGTTCTACAGAAGGATTATGAGAATGTCATGCACACAGAATAAGAATAGTAATACTTAGAATCAGATAGTGAGTGAAACATTTGACATTCACAGGACATACCAAAATGTGACTTTCTGTGTCTTCTCTGAGTCCCCACGCTTTTACATATAACGTTATCAACGAAAAGGACAATTTCTTTTTCTTATTCTTTTTTATTAGGAGAGAATGTTGGCAGCTTAGATTCTAATAAAGTGCGGGAGAAATGACTTAACAGGAATAAATGCTGCTCTTTGACTCAGCGTCCGTCAGTGGGTGGTCTTAGTAGTTCTCCCAACCTGAGTGTGGGAGGTGTGTCGACGCTTCAGAATTGTTGCGGCTCTCTGTTGCTTTCGCGCCTCTTTGAAGTTACATTCAAATCCCAGACAAGGGCAATCTATCACAGTCAGAATAACACATCCACGATGCACTCCAGTCAATCGTTGGCCATTCTTGTCCTGAACTTCGCATTCTGTAACAGAAAGCCAAAGAGATAGGTGAAGGCAGGGAGTCACCAAGCAAATAAGATTTTTTGTGAATGGATAGCCGAACGGGTTTAATACTGATGGCAAATAGATAAACGATTATTAGGGCAATAGGGAATAAAGGATTGTGTAGAGCTAAGACCGCGCATGCTCTGAAGGGACAAGGTACATACAATAATATGTTCGTGACTGCTGTAGTTTCATCAATCGTCTATGTTCGGAATTTAAGTCCTTATGTCAGATAAAATTATGTTAATACTTATTTTCTCTGATGAGAAAGATATTTGTCTAATTCCTTTTCAGTTCGCCCTATATTTTGCATATAAAGTAGTATATGATTTTTTCTGGTCCTTTCTAATATTCTATTCTCTCGATATTTACGCGTGAATATTGTGAATTATTCCCGGATAGGCAATAGAGTAAAGCACTTTATTGTAAAAATCTAACATGGCGATCGATATAAAATATACTAATAAATTATTCATTGTATTTTAAATAAACGGAGAATTTTGAAATGTAAAAACGCCGTAGGAATTTAAAGAAAAATGACAAGGAAATTAAAATAAATAAAAGACAAATATAAAATACAAGATAATATGAAAAATAAACTGAAATAAAGTCGTCAAACCGATGTCAAAATAAAGAATTTCAGAAGTGATATGTGGTCAAAAAAGAAAAAAAAATGGCCTCAAATTGGAATATCTCGTATATTAAAAAAGAAGAAGATATTATTTGCAATCTGGATGGACTTTGTGTGTTTCTGCATATATTATATCAATTCTTTAGGACAGAACACATTTTCATCAAGAGGTTATTTCATTGTTATAATAAATAGAATTATTCCGTGTTATTTTTAGGAGATAATTTAATGAAAACAAAATATTTCGCTCAATGGTCAAATAGTAATAGGTTATATAAGATGAGAATGCATTCGCCTACGGTCAGATCACGATAAAAACACCGATCATCATTCAATCGCCAAAGTTAAGCACCATACAGCCAGATCAGTACTTAGATGCGGGACCACTTGGGAAGACCTGGAACTGTAAGCAGACCCCTACTACCGCGGTAAGTAAGCTTTCAGTTTGGGCAATCGAGACGGAGTCGTCGTTAGCAAGCTATTTTTGCTAAAACAGTTATCACTGAGTAGGGAGTTCTATTCTCAATGGGTCCCCGATACTTTCGACTTGTGCCACATGTAAGCTACGATTAGATGAGAATGCCTTTATCGTCTATCCTCATATTGTGTATTAAATCCTATTTTATTGACTTATTTATTTCTACCACTCTCTCTATCCATTTCCATTTGAGTGGTGGCTAGCACATAGATTGCGGGTGAAGTGTCACGAAAAAGAAAAAGAAATTCCGCTATAAAACACCGTTTTCGTTAGCAGGGAACTTTCTCTCTCCGTCAATTTTCTGATATATCCACGAATGGACATATGATTTGAAAGGTCAACATTTTGCATTTCTTATCGAAATAAATTATTTAATATAACATAATAACGAAGAACACTAATCAGGCACTCATTAAAAAATGGATATTTCTGTTTCCTATGCATCGTTTACGTTCAGGGCGTAGGCGATCATGACTCTTCACCTATTCTTGTCATTTAGATTCTAATAAGATTTGACCTTTTTGTAATTTCTCCCCAAAATGCCAATCAGATATTCTTTCTTCTTTCTTTCAATCTGTCCTGTGAGTATCAGATTTTCCAATACCAATTTCCTCGTTACGTACGCCATAAATTTATACATTTTCCTTTCTATTCTCTCCAAGACCTCGTTGTTACTCATATGTTCAGTTCATGGTATCCTCAGTTGCTTTTTTGTGGAACCACATTTCTGTGGCTTCAAGGCTCTTACTAATCTTTGAGGAGATTCTCCAGCATTCTCTGCTATACAGGAGAGCAAATATCACGTAACAGCTCAGTGATTTTTTTTCTTTTTTTCCAACGATTTTTCTCTCTATTAATAGTCTGCTTAATGTGTAGCAATAATTACTGACGATATCAAAAATACATTTGCTATTTTGATAAGGAATAAACAGTTTTGTTACTATGTTTGTACTCTTCTACTCTAAAACCGATTTTATATAAATCAAAGTCTATCTTGTCAATCCCACTCTGTATATGAATATTACATACGATAAATTAAGATCAATAATAATAATAATAATAATAATAATAATAATGAAGAAGAAGAAGAAGAAGCTGCAAAATACTTAAAAAAGATAAACAGCTTCATGGCCAATATTCTGTCCGTACCAAACAAGCTGATGTAGACAAACCCTGTACTCATAAGTGATAAATCGTGAAGGGGGAAAATGCACAGGACCAATGCTTGTTAAATAGAAATTATCAGTCACCCATACTAAAATACTTAGCCCAAAATGCATATTCTGTGATAAATATTCAGAATCAATTGATCATCTTGTATCAGGTTACACGGTATTGGCACCTACTGAATATAAAACCCGGCATGAAAAAACGGATCAATATCTGCACTGGAAAATCTTCAACTTCTACGGGAAGGTAACGGAAATAAATAAGTATGAATACAATCAAGGCTCGGTATCGGTGATAGGACCTATTACAATTCTATGGAACTAAACAATAGACACAGAGGGATCAAACAAATCTAACCGCCCAGACATTGTTATTAATGACCGCAAGCAAAAAACTTGTCTCCTTATTAATATGACATTTCCTGCAGACTGAAATGAATATTCGAAGATCTTCAAAAAGCAATTATAATACAAGGAACTTGAAATCGAAATCACAAAAATGTAGCACGTTAGGATACCAATAATGACAGTTGGAGCCCTCAGATTGATTCGAAAATTTCCGATAGACACATTGAAGGGATACCTCATAGCCCAAGCATTACAAAAATACAAAAATGTACTCACAATAACAGTCCATACCATACGAAGGGTTTTATCTATGTAAATTGTATTTGATCTTCGTTGTTTTTCATTTTTTTCTCATATAATGATCAGTGGAAAATGTCATGATGCCATCTCTTACCTTACGTATCATATTAAGACCCGGGAAGAAATGAGTATACGTCAAATATCAAAGCAAAATAATAATAATAATAATAATAATAATAATAATAATAATAATAATAATAATAATAATAATAATAATAAATAATGTGGATCCAAAATAAAGAAACAATAACCATCTAATCTCAGGATGTTCTATACTTGCCCCAAATGAATATAAAAATCGTCACGATAGAGTGGGAATAACACTGAAATGTGCAAACACTTTGGAAAATGTGGAATTCATCGGCAGCGTAGAAATAGAAGATTGGGATTATACCATCCACACAGACAGAAAAATTGAAGCAAATAGGCCGGACATTATTGTCAAAAACCAGAAAGAAAAAAAAACACTACTAATTGATATGGCTTGTCCAGCGGATTGTAACATAGCAACCAAGGAATTTGAAAAACTATCAAAATACAAAGACATGGAAATTGAAATAGAAAAATGTTTGAAAACAAGAATAATACCAGTTTAGGTTAACAAAACAACACATTGAAAGAATCCTGGAAACCCCAGCTTAAGAGACATACAGAAAATTGTCTTATCCCCATCTATATCGAGATAAAAAAAAAAAAAAAAAAAAAAAAAAAAAATTAACATGAAATGTGGCTATAACAACACACCACGACCTGCCTTAGGTCTTTCCGCAGATTGGATCCTAAAATAATAATAATAATAATAATAATAATAAGAAGAAGAAGAAGAAGAAGAAGAAAATCGGGGAATTCTAGTAGAGTTTGTTGCATGCAAATAGTTTGGACAATGTTTGTTACCAGCACTTATCCCCCATCTATATGTAAATAGCAGAGCAGATTGGATCCTAAAATATAGACGAAGAACAACTCAAAATTTGAGGAAGGACTTTGCGTTTTTTTGCATATATTATATGAAGTGTTTAGGACAACATACTCTTCCAACAAGAAATTATCTCATTGTTATGATAAATAGAAATTTGGGTTGATATATTTTGGGACAAATCTTACTAAAAATATTTTTTTTTATGTCACTGAACCGTCAAACACTAATAGGTTATATAAAATGAAAATAACTTTATCTGCAATTAGATTAAATGAAATTCATTAAATGCTTGTAAAAAATAGAGGGCAAGCAATTTTTCCTTTCTAAAATAGTTTTCATAATTCTATTTAATTCCTAATAAGATTGCTTTATATTTAACATCGTTCCAAAGTTCTGCCATTCGTTTCTCCTTTGCATTAATTCAAAGCCAATTACCTTATTCACTGTAACCTGCCATCATCTTAATGTTGTCCATTAATGCCTCTTATTGGACGAGTCCTGGAAAATCGATAGTCAAAAATTGTAATAAACGATATCTATCCGGAAATTAAAGTGATATTTAATATTAAAAGAAAATAGCTTACTGAGCACGCTGATTCTATCCAAAAGCCCATTATTCATAGGACACTATCGACTTATACAAGTACCCCTTTTCTCGTTAGGATACAGACACTGAAATCTCAGGTCGTCCTCTGCTAACACGCGGCGTTCTCTTTACACTCGTTCACATGTCGATTTAACTTTAGCAAAGGCAAAATTAGTTGAAAACCAAAACTGAAAAATAGGGTTGTCGATTGCTTAGGATGATAGAATAGTTTTCCAGGAAATCCTTTCGCGGTACGTTGAATATCTGCTTGCAGAATCTTGATAATGATAGTCAAACTGTAGAGATCTTAATGCACCGTATTGTACTCAGTGACTGAATAACTTCACAGCTAAGTGTCACTCCCAGAATTGGCAATAAGATATCTGACCAATATTTGTTATATCATATTAAAGCCGCGGCGGGAGGGGGCACTTCGACGTGGGTTAATTTTTAGAATGCATGCCTCGAGAGATCAATTACGAGTGAATAGTATGTTCTACCTTCACTGGGTTTTACATACTATCGACCTTGTACGACATCAAAACTACAGTTATAAAATCACTCTATCCGCGGAAGAACACAGTGCAACCTCAGTTCGAGAAAGCCTCACATGTCGATTAAATCGGTTTTCGAACAAAATATTCGAGAGGATAATGCCTCGGTTATCAAACAAAATTTCTCGAACAACATTACCGAACTGAGTTAATCCGAATGGAATCATTTCTTAGATGACCGCCATGTTGTATACATTCGTCTGTTGTGCTGTGTTTTTCTTTTCCAATTTTATTGTACTGTGCCTTTTTGTTCACTACATTATGCTCAGTCAGCTCGAACGATTGTCTCTTCCTACTCAGTTTCATATAGCAAAATCAACGAGAAAGATGAGGACAATAGTCCGAATAATGTAAATAGGGTAAAGTGCCGTTAGAATTAAAAGATAAATAATATTTCAAAAGCAAATGAATAGAAAGATATGTGGAAATTGTTACAAAATGAAGATTAGATATTGACGGTTTTTTTTAACTAATTTAATGCACCTCTATATATGCACCATTATTTTCTCAAAGCAACTCAAGATGTTACTTGATTTATTGCCATGTTCGTTCTAGCGAAGTCTCATAAATGATGGCAATTGCATCAATGATCTTTTGCTTCAGACCAGTGATATCCAGTAATTTTGTTCTATACATGATATGTTTAACATAACACCACAGAAAGATGTCCAGGGGAGTTAAATCTGGTGAAAGAGATGGCCAGGAGAGTTGGCCATCCCTTGCATTCTACTGGTCTGGAACTGTTTGATTTAGTAACATAGAATTCCCAATGTGGTGGCGCACCATCTTGCTGGAAAATGATGGATGGTTGAAAGTTACCAATTGCTTTTGCAATATAGTATAGACCAATCTCGGTTCTCGAAAGTATCACATGTCGAACAAATCGGTTTTGGAACAGAATATTCGGGAGGAAAATGCCTCGGTTATCAAACAAAATTTAACACGAGTTAACACGAACGGAATTCTTTCTGAGTCGATCGCCATGTTGTATATATTCGTCTGTTGTGCTGTGCTTTTCTCTTCCAATTTTTTTGTACTGTACCTTTTATTCTCCT